ATGTTTTACATGATGAGTGTGAAGTGCGTCCATCCACTCTCTCTTCCATCTTTCTAGAATTATTTTAGAAGGAGAGTGGTATGCTCTGGAGTGCTTGTCAGCCATAAACTCTTTTCAGCAGTCTGAGTGATTTTTGTTTGGTGAGTTAACTGTGTCCTGGCAAATGACTCAGTGTGTTCAAGAGAGCTCTCCCACGGGACCCCAAACAATTAGCTGAGTGTGGTCAATTGTGCACAAGCCAATGGTCAGGCCCCACCACACCCTGTCTCTGTTCTTTGCTAGATTCCACAGGACTAAAAGACTAGTGTTTCAAAACAACAACAATAAAAGGGAACAAGACAAAGCATACCAAACTGAAGGAAACAATGTTTCTCTTAGCAAAGCCTTCCGTCTATCAGACCCCTCAGTCCCGCATTGATGCAGACAATGAGTGCACATTTAAAGAGAATTCCAGAGTGTATTTCATCTACCTGTGTCTGTCTTTTTGTAAGTTCTTATTCAGGACAGTGGCCACCTCAACTGTCTCCTGAGAATGCACAGCCAAGTCATTACATACAACCCAGAAGTAATCACACAGCACAAACAACACGTATAAGAAGAACAGTGGCCTGGCGGTGATGGCAAACACCTTTAATCCCTGCACTCAGGGAGTTAGAAGCAGGTGGATTTCTGTGAGTTCAAGGCCATCCTGGTCTACAGAGCAAGTTCCAAGATGGCCAGGGCTACAAAGAGAAACCTTGTCTTGAAAACAAAATAAAACAGAAAACAGAAAAAGAAAAAAGAACAACAGTAGTATAGGTCCCTTTCTCTCAAAGCAAGAGTCTTCAGAATTACTGTGTGTGTGTGTGTGTGTGTGTGTGTGTGTGTGTGTGTGTGTGTGTGAGTGTGTTAAATTATGAGCAATAGAAGGCTTTTTTGATTCAATAATTGAAAACCACTCCCAAAACAAAAGTAAGTTGAACACTGACTTTGGTTTCCTGTGAGTGTCTCATCTATACAAATATCTTTAGCTACTCCAATGCCAAGAAACTCAGAGGAAAAATGTAAGACTTGGTGTCTTCAGCAAGGACATTGTATTGGCACAGAATGGGGAGAAATGTCACCTTTAAGCCAATGGTCAGCACACATTTGTATAGCTGGCTCTCCCACCAGACAGATATGGATATTTAAACATCAAGAAGTATTCTTTATTTGAATAATTAAAAATAACTGACATAATCTCTGGAAGCAAAATTCCCTACCTCACCCATAATGCCCATTGTAGATAAATTGTACTTCAGAGCCAGTCCATCTGGCAAAGCAGGCTGTTTCAACTCCATGGCTTTCCCTTTGTATCAATCTGGTATTGCTGGCATGAAGCAAAACCCCACAGCCTCCTCTTGTTTCACTAGGAAGTGGAGTGATGACTTGAAATCTTCAGGAAATAGCAAGGAATGAACTCAATGCAAAGTGTCTTCTTTGTTTTGCCGGCAGGGAGCGAATATCTTTCAGGGATACCTGACCAATAGGTGTCGGCCACTTGTCAAAGACCATGAGGAACTTTCGAGGTCTTACCTAGTAAATACCAGAGCCCTTTGACTCTCTCTGGCTTCAAATATAAACTATGATGATGCACTGTAGACTTCTGGCAAGTGGCTTTGCCTTTCTGAATCTAAGCTTGCTCATCTAGAAAATAGGGATTTTAATGCTACTTTCCCATAACGTCACTATGAGGAGTTCATGGCTGTCAAAGTCTTGGGTCCCACACCTAACGCATAGTAGGTGCTTACTAAATGTTAGCTAGTATTTCAGATTACAAAATCATGCATGCTAGTGGCATGTTAATCTGTGTGAAATGTGTTTTTAGATCTCAAAGTGCCCCTTTATGGGTAATGTATGTTGGCAATGATTACAGCAGGACAAATGGACACTCTCCCTTTACACCTTCAGCTTGTTTAAATAGATGGCCTGTGTATATGATTAGAGGAAAATATAACTAAGGAATCCTGTTTTTAAAAAGTCATCATTTATCATGACATTTAAAATGCTTGGGATCAGAAACCTCTCAGATTTTTGGATTTTGTTGGTGTGTGGAATTTATTACACTGACATAATAAGCTATCTTGGGTATAGAAACAACTCTCAACCAGAAATGCATTTGTATTTCATAAACCTTATACCCATAACTGGAAGTTGTTATATATTTCCATTGGGTTTTGTGCCCAAAACAGTTGTTTTTTTGTTTGTTTGTTTTTGTTTTTTAGTTTTTCGAGACAGGGTTTCTCTATAGGTTTGGAGACTGTCCTGGAACTCTCTGCCTGCATCTGCCTCCCGGGTGCTGGGATTAAAGGTGTGTGCCACCACCTCCTGGATATCACCACAGTGATATCCACTGTGATATCATGGCAGCACTCAAAAGTGGTTGGAATTTGGAGAATTTTATATTTTCAGATTATAAATGCTCAAGCTGTGTTTAAACTATGGCATCCTGGGAGACAGCTCAGTAAGGGGCTTGCAAGCATGAGGACCCAAAATTCAACATGCATGACTGATGTAAAAAGCAGAGTATGGTGTCTGGTGTTTGCAATCCTGGCTCTGGGGAGCAGAAATAGGACAGATCTCCAGGGCTCACTGACCAACCTGTCTAGCCTAATTCTAACGAGCCGGGCGTTAGTGCCGCACACCTTTAATCCCAGCACTTGGGAGGCAGAGACAGATAGATCTCTGTGAGTTCGAGGCCAGCCTGGTCTCCCGAACGAGTGCCAGGATAAGCTCCAAAGCTACACAGAGAAACCCTGTCTCGAAAAACCAAAGGAAAAAAAACAATTCTAATGGATGAGCCCTAGGTCTTAATGAGAATAGAAACAAAGTACATGGCTTCTGGAGAAAACCCCTGAGGGTGACCTCTGGCCTCCACAGGCATGTACACCCACATACACACTTTTGCATGCATATGTACACAAGGGCATAGAAACACACACACACACACACACACACACACACACACACACACACACACAGAGAGAGAGAGAGAGAGAGAGAGAGAGAGAGAGAGAGAGAGAGAGAGAGAGAAAGAGAGAGAGAGAGAAAGCTGGATAGAAGGATAGATGATTTATAGATGAAAGAAAGAAAGAGAGAGAGAAAGAGAAAGAAAGAAGGAAAGATGAAGAAAGAAAGAAAAAAGAGAGAGGGAGGGAGGAAGGAAGGAAGGAAGGAAGGAAGGAAGGAAGGAAGGAAGGAAGGAAGGAATTGGCTTTCCCACCCATGGTGCTGTTTGAATTAGTCTGGGCAGAGATGAAAACTGGAAGGAAACTTCCATGCCTCTTCTCAAAACCCTACACTCTTTAAGACTGATCCTGTGACAGAAATGCCCTGGCCCCTGGCCTCCTTGGCTTATATGTACAAGAGAAGGAACACCAAGTTGATCCCCACATGCTTAACTGATTATGTCACTCACAGAAATGCCATTAACAGCTTGCCCACGAAGGGGAACTTACCAAGTGACAAACGGCCTGTGAGACATTCAACATAAATCTTCTCAGAGCTAAGGAGAGACCCTGGTGTTGTCTGTCCAAACTGATGTTCACAAGTCCCAGGGAGGAAGCCGGGCATCCACACACTTGCACTAGGAGCGTGTTTTAAAGGCCTGGCACCAATTGAAGACAAGCCTCATGGCTTAGTCCTTCCCTAGCCATGTTAGGTGTCCTTCAAGGGCACTGGTGTTTCTTTGTGTATTCATTTTAAGAAGAATCTATTTAGAACTCAGTGTGATATGTATCCAAGTACTTAAAAATATTTGCTTGCACATGGCCTCAGAGCAGGCATGGAATTTGGGGGTAGACGGTATGACTCACCTCTCACAGAAGCAAGTTGCTTGGTCCCCGGAAAGCCTCACTTCTCTGTCTCTTGTGTTGGAGATAATGTATTTCAAGGTCTTCCAGAAGATCAAATGACATGTACATTAAAGATGCTGAGTGAGCAAGCAAGTGTGATACAATACAGGCTGTGGGTGGAATCTTTTTTTTTTTTTTCTGAAGTGAGTGTTTTGTGCACATGTATGTACGGTGTATTTATTTTTCTGGTTTCTGCTTGAGAACAGCTCATTTCTATGAGTGGAGAAACACACAGCAGCTGGAAGGCACTAACAGACCAAGACTTGTGGAGCTAGAGTTACAAGCAGTTGTAACACACACACACACACACACACACACACACACACACACACACAAACACTGTTTAAAATCACATGACTATTTAATGAATGGCCAAAATGCAGTTGCTTTCTGTCTTTTTCTTTTTTCTCTTCTAGTCCTTGTTCCCTTTAATGTATGTTTTGGTTGTTTTGGTTGGTGGTGGTGGTGGAGGTTTGGCTGCAGTGGCTACAGAGGCAGTGGTGGCAGTGGTGGCTGTGATGTGGGTTTTGAGGAGTGGTGCGTATTTGATGACGATAAACAGATATTATGTATAAACAGTCAGGCAAGATAGCTTTAAACATGCCATGACACGTGTTATTTATTTTTAATGGGGTATAACTGAAGAATAACTCTAACATATTTTGTAATATTGATAGAGACTATGTCAGTTTAAATGTCCTTTTCAGACGCAGAACATTTTTTTTCCAAGACAGAACAGTATTGTTAACTTTGAAAAGCTGACAGTACACACTGGACTCGGATCTTTTCCAGTCTCTACTCCCATAATGGAGCAAAGGGCAGCTGGCCCCTGCCTTTCTCTCTCTCGAGCATGTGGAGCTAAGTCAGTAAGAGCTATCTTGGCACAAGAGACTTTTGACTAGAAGAAGAATGTAGTTCAGACTTCTGGGCTTGCAAAATCACATTTTTAACAAACTCATCCAACACCAACAGGAAACCTAAAAACAATGCTTAGAGAAAGAATATTATGCCAACCTCCATGCATACTGTGGTGTGTTTGCAGACTCAATCTTGTCTGGTTTCATTCACTGATATGTGGAAAAATAGAAATTGTGCTGCGAATTTTAGCCTGAAAAAAAAAACACAATAAAAAGTATAGAATCTTTAATACATTGACCTTTAAGTGGGTAACCACCCAGATCCCTAGGTTAGATCCACTAGCTTAGCCTGAGTCTATGTCTTTTTCTACAATTAGTCTTTAAAATACAAGTTTGTCCACACAACCACCTTAGGATGGACAGAATGCACACGGCTCTGCAGGACTTGCTGATGCTGTCCACCTGCAGCTTTCAGGAAATCAGGGTAGTGGATGGTGTCTCCCACAAACTGGCGGAGCTCTGGTGTCCTCCAGGGCACATGGCAGGGTTAACTTGAAAAAAAAAAAAAAAAAGCTTTAGGCAATTTAGTTTGACAATAGCCCACCCTCCACATAGCTGGGTCGCTCAGAGCCAAGGGCTTTTCTTCTTACTCAAGCAAATGTAGCTTCATACAAAACCTTCCCATGGTGCTGGGGACAGAAAGGATTGTTTCATATGGCAGCTGTATCAGCCCGACCGAAGTTGGGAAAATGGCCCCAAGACTGAGAAATACCTGTCCTAGCTGGTCTGGCTAGAGCAACTCGTAGACATGTTGCTCCAACATATGGATACTGTATGAAAGGATATCTGAAGAAACCGGGTAGTGGGAAGTCATTTTCTCTTTTGGCCATCAGCACACAGCATTGTGGAAGCACACAGACACTTAGCTCTGCCCCTTGTCACTAACCAGAAAACAGGCCTGTGGATGGAGCAGTTGGGACCAACTGTATGCCTTCTGGAAGCCAGGCATTCAGCGTAGTTTAGACAAAGCTGCTTATAAAGGCTTATTACATCCAGCACCCTGTCTTACCCTGCCTCTGGAGCCTGGGGCAGCTCTTTAGAGCCAGCCAGTCAGTGGAGGCAGCCTGTCCATGTGCCACCAGCCGCTTCATCTCTTAGATGCCACAAAGTTCTTGGCCATTGCAACAGCAGCTGTGTCAACCCAGCAATCTCCACCAACAGCTGTTTTTCAATAAACCTTTTGACCAAATGCAGCTGTTCTTTAAAGTAGGCAGATTGGCCAGCTAGCTTACTCTCTCCCGCATCTTCACCCCCTGACTTATCTGAACACTTACCTGAAATGACTCCTTAGCAGCTGCCACTCATTGTCCAGGTAGCCTTTCATACCTCCAGCCAGGTCTGGCATTCCAAACCAATGGGTGGGCGGTGGAAGCTTGCTGGCCCGGGTGGTCCAAGCCACCTACAAGCTATTGCATTGATCGCTAGAGGAGACATTTGCGCCTGCGCAGAAGGGAGGGGCGTTGGCTCCTCGGGCTGTCGGTTACAGACCGCTAAAATGAGGACTTAACACCACAAGACTAAGAAAATCCTCTCCATGGGAATTTTATGTAAGTAACTTCCCATACCCACGAATATACTGAGAAAAGGCTTGGGCAATAGAAGCCCAGAGCACTTGTAATTGAATTGATTGACAGAGTTTTCCGGGTGGGTGGGGGTAGTGGTGCATATTTAATTTGCAATTTGAAATTTATGACCCCGTAATATTTTTTATTTAATTCAACAATGAAGAGCTGAAGGGTTGGCTGAGCAGCTTTGAGTCTTGCAGCTCTTGCAGAGGACTGGAGTTCAGATCTCAGAACCCACTGCTGGGCAGCTCTCAACCACCTTTAAACTCCACCTCCAGGGATCTGACTCCCTCTTCTGGTTACTGCAGGCACCTGCACTAATGTGTGCATACTCCTAGGCAGAATTACCTAAGTACACATACCTAAACATAAAAATAAATATTTTTTTTTAAAATTTAAGAATATTCAAAAAAAGAAAGCAATCCACCTATAAAATAACCAAAGACATAAACATCCCTTTCAGCAATAAAGAGATAAGTGTGGTCAGTTAGCCCAGGAAGAGATGTTTGACAGTGTTAATCATTCCAGAAATGCAGATAGAAACCACAATGAGTTGGTTCTCTACTACTGAGCAGTAATTTTGTAAAAAAAAAAAAAAAAAAAAAAAAAAAAAAAAAAAAAAAAAAAGTAATGATACTAATGGTCGAAATGTAAAACATACAGTCCTTCTGAAAATAAAACCCGAGAGCTTAGAATTTAGAATTTGATTCAGGATTGACATTCTTAAGCATTCATCCCAAAGAAAAGACAATCCACACAAAAAACTTGTGTACAAATGTTTATGGAGGTGTTTTTGCACTGGAGCAAAATATTGGAAGAACTTGAATGCTATTCCATGGGTTAATGAACACACCCTGGTGTGTCCATATAACAGATCTTTAGTCAGAAATGAAAAGAAATGAACTATTGATGCAGATGACACCCTGGAGGGACCGCAAGGGCAGTATGTGCAGTGCAAAAATTCAATCTGAAAATCATATACATTGATATTCCAAATAATATGTCTCATCATGGTTTGAATGCCAAAGGGTCAGTAGCAAGTAGTTTTACTGGTAACTACTTATATATGTAAATTGCAGTGTTTAAAATTTTATCATTATTGTGTGTATGTGTGCATAAGCACACACATGTAAGATGGCTGACTTAGGATGTTTTTGGTTGTTTGTGTGTTTCCATTGGGGGGAATGTTTTATTTTGTTTCTTGGGTTTGGTTTCATTTTTTATTTTCAGTTTTTTGTCATTGGTTTTTGTTTTTTGTTATTTTTGCTGAGGATTTTTTTTTTTCAGGGAAGTCAATGCCACTGGTAAAATACCATAAAAACTCTAACATCACTTTTGGGCACTAAAACAGGTATGTGGAGAGAAAAATGTTGGCTAATTTCCACTGAGGCTCCAATTCTTGATAGGTGGGGTGAACAGTGTTGATCATGTTTGCCAACAGTAGTTCTTGACCGGAAAGGCTGGTTCGTCTGTGGGCTGGAGCACAGACAAGGTCCTGCAAGACGCTGCGTGTTGTCCCATTGTTCCTCTTTGCTCTTTCCTGTTGGTAGTTACAGCGCATGCAGCCCAGTCCTCCACCTTCATGAATCAGAAGTCATGTGTGTGCAGTTTGGGGCTGTGCAGCCCAGGGTGTAGATGGCAGTGTCTTTTTGAGATTCCCATCATTGCATGGGAAAAAAAAAATGTCCAACCATTTTTCCTCTGCTGTCTCTGTTACAGTTAATAACAATTTGTTTTCCTGGAATTTCTTCCAATCATTTCCCCTCAGGTTCGGGTATCCCGTGAGGCCCATTCCAAGACAGCTAGTGGCTGTTCCTTACCCACTTCACAGGGATGGTCATTTGGGAGATCGGGAGAAGGGCAGGAAGAAGAGTCCCAAGGGCATACACAGTGCTGAATGTGTTCCTACTCTTGGCATCTGCTTGATGCTTCAGAAAAGCATTGTCACTTATCCATTTCATTGTTGGTGCACATGTGCAGGTGTGTCAGTGTGCACGCACACACACACACACATGCTCATGTGTATGGTATAATACGTGGTACACATCTGTGCTCTTACTTGTGGATTCCAGAGGTCAACCTTGGGGTTGTTCCATAGGAGCACACCCCCACCTTTGAGACAGGGTCTCTCATTGGGACTAGAGGCTGCTGAATCAGCTAGGCTGTTGAGCCAATCAGCCCCGGGCATCCTCACCAGATAAGGAATCACATGGCCATGCCCGTTATACCAGGCTTTTTGCAGTGCTGTGAAAGATCAAACTCATGTTCTCATCCTTGTGTGACAAGCACTTTACTGTGCCATCTCACCATGCTCATCTTTTTAATGTATGACTGAGGAAGTGAAAGACACTGAAGAGGACCGGATGTTACAAAGAAAGCCGGTGATAAGACCATCCCTGGATGACCCAGGCACAAGTGTCAGCAACTAACAACACACACAAAAAAAATTAATTTTCTTTGTCTCTGTTACCCCATCTGTAAAATGGGTCTGATGGTAACAGTACATGGCCTCCTCTGTTGTGATGATCCAATGAGGGAAAAAAAAATGTGTTTTGAACTATTCCCCTGCTGCATTTTGGGGCCACAATACATATTGCTTCCCATTTCTTAGTTACTGTCCTATTGCTCAGTGCCCAGGGTGGCTTGAAAGGAAGTGATTTGACATGAAGTAGAATTGCTTGCTAACAGCATCGGGGTCAATTAACTTTCTCACAGAAATACATTCATGAAGAAAATGACTATTAAAAACAAACTGCGGGGAGTCTGGTCCTTGCCAAGCAAATGACCACAGACCCATATGGATATACCCTAGACTTGTCATATACCAGACAGTTTCAAAAGGTTATGGCCTTGATGGCCTCTTTTCCAGCAACCGTGAATTAAGGATTTTAGACTGCACAGGTTGCCGCACTACATTTTCTTGTAAAAAACCTTTTTATTTACCCAGTATGCTGGTCATGGTACCTGAGAGGTGGAGGCAGAAGGGTCATGAGTTCAAGGGCAGCCTTGACAAGCACAGCAATTTTGAGATCAGGTTACAGGAGACCCTGGATCTAAGGGAGGGGCAGGGAATTACCAAAAGGACTGAAATTAATTCAAAAATTGTGGGAAGAGAAATCCATCTAAGAAAATCAAAGGTGGTTTTCTGAAAGGAGAGGGTGGTACTGAGAGAGAGATTTGTTTACTCTTCTTTCTTTAGGGGGGACTTGGAGAATAACACAAAGAAACAGCCCTTACATTAAAATATAACTCCTCCTGCCCCCACTCCTGAAATCTTGGCAGAGGCCAAGGATGAAGCGTGGCCATCTTTGTGTCCGCCTTGGTGCTCAGCCTTTACAAGGGTTTATAAACGGTAACACATCCCTAGCTGAAGGCATTCACACCCTAATCCCCCAGCTGTCTTTTTGCCGGACTGGAGTGAGCGGATTACACAGTTGAGCCCAACAGGCAGTTTAGAAGGCAGACTGAAAGTTCCCTGCGGGCAGGAGCCAAATGAGTTGTGTCCACGGTCACCTCCTTAGAGCTTGACATGATGCCTGGCATCCCTAGGCACCTATGCAGTTCTTATGTGTCTGCATGAAAAATGGCCATGATTCTGCCCTCAGAACTCACAATAGGCTTCAAAGTCGAGAATGTCCCTGAGAAGGGACACTCTGGCTTTCTTTGGTTTCCAAGAATTCCTGCCGACCCAGGAGAGGCCAATGTCAGTTTCAGATCTACCCCCAACCTCTCTAAAAGGAGCTGTGAAGCGTCTGTTTCTGGGGTCTGGAAGAGCAGGGCGCCCCCATCACCCAACCCCGCTTCCTGCAGAGACCCCTCAAACCCGGTGGTGGGGAAGGTGACCAGGAGGGGGAGAGCCAGCCCGCACGTGCAGCGCCCAGGGGAGGAGGCTGGGCCAGCGCAGCGCTTAGTCAGCAGCTGGGCTCGGTTTTGAAACAAAAGCCAATGTCCTCCCTCGGAGTCTGCGGCCGGTCAGTTCCTAGGGGGAAGAAAGCTATGCTGCCCAGCCGGTTAGTGGCCCAACTTACTTTTCCTGAGCCCGGGACTGAGGGCCAGCGGATGTTTGGGAGTGGGTGGGATGCTGCGGGGAGGGGGCTCTGGGGCAGGTC